GCAGCAGGAGGAGAGCTGGGCACTGAGAGCAGACACAGCTCCCTGTGCTGCCATCCCAGCTCCTGCAGCACTGAGGGTGCCAGGCTGGGCAGCAGGAGGAGAGCTGCAGTCCCTGCAGTGCCAGGCGCGGGCTGCACCCACACAGGGGGCACAGCTCCCTGCTGAGGGAGCCTGGCAGCACACTGCAGCCCAGAGGTGGCTGCACCAGCCTCGTGGTGCCCTTGTTGGCTCGGGTGAATCCCAAATGAGATTTATTCCATCAGTTCTGGTGAGTGTTCTGGGATCTGGGAGTAACCCAGAGCTGCGTTCAGCAGTCCTGGCCCTGCATGTGCAGGGAAGGAAATGAGGTGGGAAAAGGAGCGGCGTGAACATCGGGGTTAAAGGTACAAAAAGGAGTTCTGGTAAGACACAGAAGCGGTGCTTCTGTACTTGATTGTCACCGGGATGTCCTGCAAAGCCAAACCTCAGCACCCGGCTGTGAGAGCCGCTGGGGCAGGACGGGGTTAACAGCCTGCACTGAGAGCTGAGCACAGGGGCTGGGAAGGGCTGTCCCTCAAAATAAAACAAGCACGCTGGGACCTCCGAGGTTAAAAAAAGGGGAGTTTATTTCTTGACCTCAATATAAATAGAATTCCAAAAGTGACCCTGGATTGGAGGATGAAATTGCCACCTCTCCAACAGCACTGGTCAAAGCAACAGTCCATCAAATGTCTCCTCCTCCAGAAAGGAATGCAAAGCAATCATTATTGACATGAACTGTGAGTGAGAAAACCCCATTACAAAAATGGAAACTTGAGAAGGCTTGGAAGAACTCAGAAGAACAGGGCGACACCCTGTCCAGAGAGGTCCTGCCTTCATCCCAGGCCTCTTCATCCCAGCTTCCTCCCCTCCTGCAAAGCCCTGAGAGGGAATGGCAGCCTTGGGGGTTGTTTGCTGTTTAAGTGTCTGGATGAGATCAAACGGCAGCGTTGGAGCTGCTGCACTTCCAAACTATTGTCCTTTATTCCAGTGGTGCTGCTGCATCTCCCAGCCCTTCCCTCCCAGGTCAAAAGTGAACCAAACTGGTCTCCTGTCCCTTTCAGTTCATGATGCTGGTTATGGATTTTGGAGTGGGAAAGCTGGGCTGGGAGTTTCACCTTTGGAGGGCTGTGGGCTCTTCCAGGCCAGATGCCAGGGATGTGATCCCACGGGCAAGGAGTGTGCTGCAGCTTCCTCCAGGCCTGCTTCCCAATAGGGAAGGGATGGGATGGGATGGATGGGATGGGATCCATGGGATGGGATGGGTGGGATGGGATGGGATGGGATGGGATGGGATGGGATGGGATGGATGGGATGGGATGGATGGGATGGATGGGATGGATGGGATGGGATTCACCTGTTCCAGTGGGATGGGCACTGCCTTGAGCCTCGTGCACACAGGTTTTACTCTGTGTCCAGAGGTGTCCCAAGGATGAGCCCACAGAACGGCCCCGTGGCACCTCCAGCCCCCTCCAGGCCACTGCCAGCCCGGGTCTGTCACGGGCTGTGACACCACGCTGAAATCAGGAACGTGCTGGGGGTGTGGACCAAGGGCACCTTCGGGTCAGTGAGGTGATTTCTGGGCATTTAAACAGCCCGGGAGCAATCCCTGGGGAGCACACATGGATATAGATATATATATTTATATATATGTATATAAAAATCCACCTTAGTGCCTCAGAGGAGGATCCAGGCTGCTCCCAACAGCCCATTCCCAACCTGGCACTGGAATATCTGTGCCCTCAGGACATGGCACCACACAAAATCCTTCCCTGTGGCTCATGTCCTGCCACGGCTTCTGTTCCTCTTCCTCCCACAAGGCCCTCTTTGGAAATGGACACAGCATCCTGTAGTTCCTCAGTGCTGGAGCCCTGGAAACTGAGAGTTTTCTGTGCTGAAAGGCACAGACCCTCACAGTTTGACCTGAGGTTGTGGAGAAGGCTTCCAAAATTGATTGAGAGCACTGGGATTGTGGGTGTGCAGTTTGATTAGAAGTGTGTGATGCCACAGGGTGGAAAACTTAGAGTTTGGGGCTTTAGAATGTAGTAATAGATAGTATTTAGAATATATATATTAGAATATGTAGTATATTTAGAATACAGTAATATATAGAGAGCTAAAATGGAGGTTTTAGGGCGGAGGCTGCTCCTTCTTCACCTTCTCCTCGGGTTTGGGTGGTGGTGGGTGGGTGGGCAGAGGAACTGACACCTCGGCACTGGACACGTGTGCTCCCCCATCACGGTCCATCTCCTGCTCCCCAAAACCACCTGGGGCTGTGGCCTTGGGTCCCGCTGAGGGTTTTCAGGGATTTCCTTCTGCCTTCCCCTGACAGGGAGCTGCACTTCCCTGGCTTTACAAGCTGTGGATATCTGTTAAATCTTCTTTCGGCACATTATCAGGGGAAAACGTTGGTTTATTACTTAGCCTTAATAAATTCTGCAGTTCCCTCAGTTCTTGGGGTCCCAAGACACTTGAGGAGCATGGAACGTAGATTTGGGGGAAAGAAAGAAACAGGAAGATCCCTGTATCAAGCAACAGGAACTTGATTTCCCTTAAAATGGAGGGATTTGGGGAAACAGGTGTGTAACCAACTCACCTGATTTCTGAGAGGAAAACTCTGAGTGCACTTAACAACTCAGTAAAATCAGCAGCACGGAGCAACGTGCAAGAGCCTGGGATTTCTTTTCCCTGAATACATTAAAAGTATCAACAATTCTGTATTTTAAGTATGGAAGGGGTTGGAGACCTGCCAGTGGGAATAATCCACCCCAGCCCTCAGGTGGCATCTTGGCAGCATCACTAGGCTTTAATTTATTCCTTTTAATCCGTGTGACTAATTAATGGCTGTCTCGTTGTTCAGTAAGTAAAACCTTTTTTTTTTTTTTTTTCCTATCCTGGCTGAATTCCCCTGGGACCCTTGGGAAGGAGGAGGATGGGCACAGCCCAGGGAGGAGGGGGAAGCCTGAGCTCCCGGAGTCAGAGGCACAGAGAAATAAGTGAAGCCGTGGCACCATCTGGTGTTCTTGCAGGTCGCAGCACTTCTCCCCGCAGCCCACGGCAGACGGCTTTTCCAAATGCCGCTTTGGCTGCTGCCTCCTTTCGGGTGGAAATGCAGCCAGCAGGAATCACCTCCCTCACTTGGTCCCGCTGCCACCCCGTGGGCTTGGCTCCGGAATTCCGGGACAAATTCGGAATTCCGAGCACCGTCATGGGCACGGGCAGCCCGCAATGAGCATCGCACTTTCCCCTCTCATTTCCTATTCCCTGCCAAAGCGTTCCCTCCCGCTCGTGCCAGCCGGGAGTGGTCCCCCCCTCTCCAGAGCAGGAATTCTCCTCCCCTCCTGCAGGAGCTGTGACATTTGCACGGGGACAGAGAGGCTGGAACAGAGCCCGTCCTGCGGGATCCTCCTCAGGAAACACTGCCGGGGGCTGCCAGCGAGGCGGGCAGCGACATCCCCAGTGCCCACGGAACGCTGTTGTCCTCAGGGATGGTCGCGCCATGGAGCAGGGGACGCCGTCACTGCAAGCAGCCGCCGTGGCTGTGGCAGGGGACACGGCAGGAGCTGTGACACTCCTGCAGAGACACGGTCCTTAGGAGCCTGAGCCGCCCTGCCAGCCCGTACAAACAGCGATCCGTGGAATGGGTTGGGTGGGAAGGGACCTTAAAGCCCAGCCAGTGCCACCTCCAGCCATGGTAGGGACACTGCCACTGTCCCAGGTGCTCCCAGCCCCAATGTCCAGCCTGGCCTTGGGCACTGCCAGGGATCCAGGGGCAGCCCCAGCTGTGCCAGGGCCTGCCCACCCTGCCAGGGAACAATTCCCAATTCCCAATCTCCCTTCCAGCCCTGCCCTCTGGCAGTGGGAGCCATTCCCTGGCTCCTGTCCCTGCAGGCCTTGTCCCCAGTCCCTCTGCAGCTCTCCTGGAGCCCCTTCAGGCCCTGCCAGGGACTCTGAGCTCTCCCTGGATCCTTCTCCTCTCCATCCTCAACATTCCCATTCTCCCAGCCTGGCTCCATGGCAGAGGGGCTCCAGCTCTGGGAGCTGAGGGGATGGAGCTGAGCAATGGCTGTGGCTGGATGCTGAGGGGATGGCAGTCACTCACAGCTGAGAGGGGACTGTTCAGAATGGCTGTTGTTCACAGCTGTGAGGGACAGCCATGGCTGACACGGTGCTGAGGGATGGCTGTGAGGGACAGCCATGGCTGACACGGTGCTGAGGGATGGCTGTGAGGGACAGCCATGGCTGACACGGTGCTGAGGGATGGCTGTGAGGGACAGCCATGGCTGAAACAATGCTGAGGGATGACTGTGAGGGACAGCCATGGCTGAAACAATGCTGAGGGACAGCCATGGCTGACACGGTGCTGAGGGATGGTGCTGAGGGATGGCTGTGAGGGACAGCCATGGCTGAGACGGTGCTGAGGGATGGTGCTGAGGGATGGCTGTGAGGAACAGCCATGGCTGACACGGTGCTGAGGGATGGTGCTGAGGGATGGCTGTGAGGGACAGCCATGGCTGAGACGGTGCTGAGGGATGGTGCTGAGGGATGGCTGTGAGGAACAGCCATGGCTGACACGGTGCTGAGGGATGGTGCTGAGGGATGGCTGTGAGGGACAGCCATGGCTGAGACGGTGCTGAGGGATGGTGCTGAGGGATGACTGTGAGGGACAGCCATGGCTGAGGGATGGCTGTGAGGGGACCCGTGGCAGACGAAGTCCCCAGCGCCGCCCCGACCATCGCTCCGCCCGCCCCGCTCCCCTCAGGCGGCCCCAGCCCCTCAGGGCGGGCCGGGGGCGGGGCCGCCCCCTCAGCTGCTCGCGCTGCGCCTGCGCGCTCCCACCGCGCCCCGGGGTGAGAGCCGCGCGGCGCGCGCGCGCTGTGGCGGAGGCGGGAGCGCGCCAGGCGGCGCAGGCCGCCGATTGGCTGAGAGGCGCGAGAAGGCGGGGCCGGGCGGGCGCTGATTGGCGGGGGGCCGCGCGCCCCCAGCGGAGGCGGGTCCTGATTGGCCGGGACGCCGCGCGGCGGCGGCCGGGACCGTTGGAGAGCGGCTGCGGCTGAGGCGGCCCGGCCGCCCCGGGAGCCGCGGCAGCGCCGGCACCGGCTCAGGTACGGGGGGCAGCGGCGGGGCCGCCGGGCCCGGGAGGGGGAGAGCCCAGCGGGGCCCGGGTCACCGGGCGGGGGGGGGTCGGCCGCTGGTTTGGCCGTGCCCCGGTGTTCCTCCCGGCCGCGGAACAGCTGCTGGCAGGCAGCCGGAATTTGCAGGCTGCGTTGCTCTGGAATTAACGGGAGACCGGGGATGTGCAGGCTGCATTGCTCTGGAGTTAACGGGACACCCGGGATGTGCAGGCTGCATTGCTCTGGATTTATCAGAGACCCGGGATGTGCAGGCTGCACTGCTCTGGAGTCCAGGGCAGAAGCAGCGCCGTGCTGGGGCTGTGAAATAAAGCAGTGTCATTTTTCTGTGCAAAACCTCTGCTGTCTTGCAGGAAAAGCTCACTTGGTTTTATTCACCTCTCCTTAGGTTGTGGTTTAAATGTCTGAAGAAGGAAGTGAGGCCAGGAAAGTGGAAGTTGCCCTGAGAGACTTCTCAGTGTGATTCAGGTAACGGGATGTGTTGGGATTGACTGTGGTGTTGCCATTAAGATCTTGTGTTTGGTATGTTCACTTGCCTGTTCTGACACTCACAAAACTGATACTGGCATTTTTCACTTATGACAAACTTGTTTTGTGAAGCAGTGACTCCTGCATTTTCTGTTGTGTGTTGGACGTGTGGAAATAGAGAATCACATAAAAAGATGGACTCCTCTGTTTAAAATTCCTCCAGAATTTTGTTTGTTGTGCTCTGACAGTTCCAGAATCCTGTATTTAAGGGGACACATCCAGGACCTCCTGTGAGCTCTCTGGGACATTGTGCACTTCCTGTGGTGGTGAATGCAGCAGCCCTGCCAGCATTGTCCCAGACTCCCTGCCTTTGGGGTTTTTGGAGCAGTAAATGGCTTTTTTTTGTTGGCTGTGGTGCAGCTGATGCAGCCAGGCCTCTGGTTTATCCCAGGGCCCAAGAGCAATACATGTTTTAGGGAGTGCTGGTGGTGGAGGGGACCTAGGAAGGAGCCATAATGCAAGGAGAAGGGCTTTTGCAGCAAGAGAAAAGCAGCACTTTTCCAGCAGTTCAGTTACATCACACACAGCACAGGTGAAGTGGGAGTGAGGCCTGGGCAGCCCTGGGTGGATGTTCTCAGTTAGGCAGCCCTGTAAACCAAGGTGGATGTTCTGAGCCCTTTAAACCAGGGTGGATGTTCTGGGTTAGAACCCTTTAAATCACAGTGAATGTTCTCAGTTCTTTAAACCAAGGTGGAGGTTCTGGGTTCTGCAGCCCTTTAAACCAAGGTGGAGGTTCTGGGTTAGGAGCCCTTTAAACCAGAAAAAAGTATTACAGAAGGCAATGGAAATGTCATCAGCTGGACTTGCACTTCAGGCTGGTGTTGTTCTTGTGGAAAGAAAGGCCTTTGTGAGCACAGCTGGAGCAGTTTGGGAGCAGGCAGGCTTTGGAAGCAGGTGTTGTGTGTGTCTGGCAGCTCAAAGTTAAAGTTATCAGGCCTGTGTAGGTGTTCAGTTCCCATTGCCTGGGGCAGTGGCAGAGAGGCTTTTAAATGCAGATTACTGCTTCTGTACTCCTGTAGCCTTTCAGTAACACCTAACACTTCACAAACTTAGAATTATTTGAGTTTAGACCTGTGAAGCTGGTGAGGAAGATTTCACACCGTAAGTTAATGCAGGAGGTGAAATTAATGAATTAAAACTGGGCAAGCTGTTTTATCCTGAGGTCAGCTGTGATGGGGGAAGGCAGTTCCTGTTTCCAGGTGTTCCCCACTGGAATTTCCCTCCTCCCCAGGTGTGCCAGGGAGCTCTGGCAGAGCTCTGAGCTGCCAGGTGTGTGGGAGCTGCTCCTGCTCCATTTCCCAGTCTGGGGTGATGGGGGAAAGGGCAGGAATGCAGCTCAGAACCCCTCCTAAAATGAATATTCTGGGAGTTCTCTCCTGTGCTCTGCAAGCCGTGCTGGGGCCTGTGGGGTGAGATGGAGAGGGGAGGCTTTGCCAGCTTCTCTTGGAAGCACGGAGTGCTCAGAAATCCCCTCCACAAAAAAGAATCTTCCCTTCCTGAGAGGGAGGGGTGAGCTCTTAATTAGACAGTGTCCAACTTCTTCCTGCTCAAAAATCCTCCTGTAATGTCTCCTTTTTCTTACCCAACAGGAGCACTGCTTTATTTCAAGGAAACACTTTGAGCTGCTGGATTTGCTCTTGTTTGCAGGCTCATGGTATAAATGCCATGGGCAGACAGGTTGTAAAAAGCCATTTCTGCTCCTCAGGCTTTGGGGCAGTGAGGGAAGGTGGGGGTTTGGCTCTGGGTTGGGTTGTGCTCTGCACCCTGGCTGTGTGCTGGAGGGCAGAGCTGCCTGTGCCAGAACAATGTGTGCTCACACACTCGGGCTCTGCAGGGCCTGCTCTGCTCCTGGGCCCGGGCTGGAGCTGCCCCGGGGGCTGGGCATGGCTCCAGAGGGCTGGCAGCTTCACATGGCACCCTGGCCAGGGGGCTGGGGGCTCAGTGCCACTGCCACCCTGACCTGCAGGGAGCTCAGTGCCACCCTGACCTGACCTGACCTGCAGGGAGCTCAGTGCCACTGCCACCCTGACCTGCTGGGACCTCAGTGCCACTGCCACCCTGACCTGCTGGGACCTCAGTGCCACTGCCACCCTGACCTGCTGGGAGCTCAGTGCCACTGCCACCCTGACCTGCTGGGAGCTCAGTGCCACTGCCACCCTGACCTGCTGGGAGCTCAGTGCCACTGCCACCCTGACCTGCTGGGAGCTCAGTGCCACTGCCACCCTGACCTGACCTGCTGGGACCTCAGTGCCACTGCCACCCTGACCTGCAGGGAGCTCAGTGCCACTGCCACCCTGACCTGCTGGGAGCTCAGTGCCACTGCCACCCTGACCTGACCTGCTGGGACCTCAGTGCCACTGCCACCCTGACCTGCAGGGAGCTCAGTGCCACTGCCACCCTGACCTGCTGGGAGCTCAGTGCCACTGCCACCCTGATCTGCTGGGACCTCAGTGCCACTGCCACCCTCCCCTGACCTGCAGGGACCTCAGTGCCACTGCCACCCTCCCCTGACCTGCAGGGACCTCAGTGCCACTGCCACCCTGACCTGACCTGCTGGGAGCTCAGTGCCACTGCCACCCTGACCTGACCTGCTGGGAGCTCAGTGCCACTGCCACCCTGACCTGCAGGGAGCTCAGTGCCACTGCCAGCCTGACCTGCTGGGACCTCAGTGCCACTGCCACCCTGACCTGACCTGCAGGGACCTCAGTGCCACTGCCAGCCTCCCCTGACCTGCAGGGAGCTCAGTGCCACTGCCACCCTGACCTGCTGGGAGCTCAGTGCCACTGCCACCCTGACCTGACCTGCTGGGAGCTCAGTGCCACTGCCACCCTCCCCTGACCTGCTGGGAGCTCAGTGCCACTGCCACCCTGACCTGACCTGCTGGGAGCTCAGTGCCACTGCCACCCTGACCTGACCTGCTGGGAGCTCAGTGCCACTGCCACCCTGACCTGCTGGGAGCTCAGTGCCACTGCCACCCTGACCTGCTGGGAGCTCAGTGCCACTGCCACCCTGACCTGCTGGGAGCTCAGTGCCACTGCCACCCTGACCTGCTGGGAGCTCAGTGCCACTGCCACCCTGACCTGCTGGGAGCTCAGTGCCACTGCCACCCTGACCTGCTGGGAGCTCAGTGCCACTGCCACCCTGACCTGCTGGGA